ACTTCCAATTACAAATCATTAAAATCCATACATTGAGTAAATATTTACTGGGTGCTGAAATCAATTTCATTTAAAACCTGCCATGGGAATCATATTGAATTCCTAAAGCTGCGCTGCCACTGTACCTGAATACTATTCAGTGAAAAACAACTTAATTGCTACACATTAAGAATACTTCAACATCAGTCTATCTGTAGTGTAATATAGCTTATAATGCATACTATGTCCTCAGTATTCAGTGTTTTTATTTTATTTTTAATGGTACTCTATGTAAACTTGAAGTTCATTTATAAATGTCCTAATCTACGAAATTAAGGATTTTGAGCTCTTAAAATGTTTTCTCATTTTTATCTTGGTAGTGGTGGTATCTCTGTCAGTGTGTACTATTCACTTTTTTTTAGCAGAAGAAAAACTTTATAGTTATTTACATAATTTTATGCAGTAGCTCTTCATGATCTCCTTTATCAGAATGAAATACTGCATTATGTTTAAGTATAAGATTTTGCACTGTGAGGAAAGAGTCATGATTACATTTAATAATGGAGAACATTTGAAAATCACTTAATTTTAAGGAGGCTGAAAATAATTACTTTAGTCCAAATTAATATGAGAAACTTGAAGAGAAAGCTGAATTGTTCTCTTAGAACATTCTCTACTGATTTGTGATCATAGCATGCAATTTATTTTATAGTTTCTCTAGTCATTTTTTTAAAAGATTTTATTTGTTTATTTGACAGAGAGACACAGGGAGAGAGGGAACACAAGCAGGGGGAGTGAGAGAGGGAGAAGCAGGCTTCCTGCAAAACAAGGAGCCCAATGCGGGGGCTTCATCCCAGGACCCTGGGCAGACGCTTAAGGACTGAGCACTCAGGTGCCCCTCTCTAGTCATCTTAAACAAGGGTTGTGTTGGATAGGGTAGACTGTGAAATGCAAGACAATTAAATCATAGGGTGCCAACACTATCCTATTCAATATTCCTTTCTGAGACTGGTTGTTACCTGATACCTATGATTTCATTTTTGTTTATTTTGTTAAGTCCAGTGTTACCAAAAAATAATAGTGCAACTAGTTTCTTGACTCTGGTTCTTAGCAATACTTTTTGCTTTCTGTATACAAGCTGAATTTTTACTCTGTATGTACTTCACAAATAGCTTCCAATAAAACCTGAAATATCTAGTCAAGTTTAGGAACACCAAAAAAGACAGTTATGGCAGGAATTTAAGCATGGCATTGCCTTCTTATGTTAATACTTCCCATGGCCAGTCTCCAATTCTCAGAGATTACAGATGATAAGTTAATGCAGAGTATTTCAGCTTGTGTATAGAATTCCTTTCCCTTATATCTGTCTTCTCTTTTGGCCCTTTATGTCACTGTGTCCCCCTTGCAAAAAAATCTTATCCAAAGGTATCTCTTCATCTGAGCAATTAGTGAAACACAGAATTGTGTGTTTACCAATTTAGTCCTATTTATTTTACTTTGCTTTGGGGGGGGCATGTTTAAAACATAAACATTCACCAAAAATGTAACACAACCAGTTACCATTTTATCCAGCAACATAATAATTTTTAAAGTCTTTGGAGAAGGAAATGCAGATAGGAGAGGAAATGGGGTGAGATTTCAGGAGTAGTTGAGAGCTAGCAAAGACAGATTTTACTGTTTTTAGTCTGACATTGTCTTCCTCTGTCTCTGTTTTTTTTTTTAAGATTTTATTTATTTATTTATTTGAGAAAGAGAGAGAACGAGCACACAAGCAGGGGGAGTGGCAGAGGTTGTGGGAGAAGCAGGCTCCCTGCTCATCCCAGGGACTCCATCCCAGCATCCTGGGATCATGACCTGAGCCGAAGGCAGATGCCTAACTGACTGAGCCACCCAGGCACCCCTGTCTCTGTTTTAAGATAAATATTTTTTTTAAATGTATTCAGACTTGTCTTTTTTTTTTTAAGATTTTATTTATTTATTTGACAGAGAGAGACACAGTGAGAGAGGGAACACGAGCAGGGGGAGTGGGAGAGGGAGAAGCAGGCTTCCCGCGGAGCGGGGAGCCCGATGCGGGCCCGATCCCAGGACCCTGGGATCATGACCTGAGCCGAAGGCAGACGGTTAACGACTGAGCCACCCAGGCGCCCCAAGATAAATATTTTTAAAAACTTTATGGAAAGTTTCTTTCATTTAATTCAGAATTATGGAAATTTCAGAATGAAACCAGAAAATTTTCCAAATTAAGGATTTCTTTTAACATTCTTGCCAAAAAAGAAATTAGTCAATTTCTTTTAAAACTGTGACATCTTAGGAGTGCCTGGGTAGCACAGCTGGTTGAATGCCTGGCTCTTGGTTTTGGCTGGGGTTGTGATCTCATGGTTTCATGAGATTGAGCCCCACATCAGGCTCTAGTCAGCAGAGAGTCAGCTTGAGTTTCTCTCCCTCTGCCCCTCCTCCCATGTGCTCAGTCTCTCTCTCTGAAATAAATAAATAAATGTAAAAACAGTAACATTTTAATTTAATTTTATTTTTTTAAAGATTTATTTATTTATTTATTTATTTATTTATTTGACAGAGAGAGACACAGCGGGAGAGGGAACACAAGCAGAGGGAGTGGGAGAGGGAGAAGCAGGCTTGCCCACAGAGCCGGGAGCCCGATGCGGGGCTCGATCCCAGGACCCTGAGATCATGACCTGAGCCGAAGGCAGACGCTTAATGACTGAGCCACCCAGGTGCCCCAACATTTTAATTTTATAATCATGTTTAATATAATCTTTATTAAATGGCATTAAAATGAGGCTAATCATGAGTACTCTATAGCTCTTGATGGCATAGTATTTGTTATAGCCTATTTTAAGATGAGTAACCAAGCCATAGCTTTATTGGTATACTATAGTTATTTAGCTATATGATAGCCTTGGAATTTGAGGGCTTAAAAACTATCTTTAATGTGTACTTAACTGATGAAGCCATTCCTTAAACCAGAAATGGAATGGACCTTCAGTAAGGCATATTCTCAAAGGGACCAGATTATTTAAATCAGCAAACACAAGGAGTCATGTCTTAGTCATGTCTTTTTCTGAATTTAGCAACCCCCATGTGCTAAAATTTTTTTTGCTCCTCTTTATGTGAATGTCTTGAGTTTATGGCTTCCACAATTTAAAAAAGAATTACAAGTAGTTAGAACTATAAATCTTTTGCATAGATTTATAATCATTGAATCCTATCTTTAAAAGTGTTCCAAATGAAGACTGCCGCTCACTTTCACATATAACCTAAGATTGCCTTGGGTAGCCATTTATAATTTTTTTTCAAAAGAGAAATTTGGGATTTTCCCAGTGGCTGCCATCTTATCAGAAGGATTTCAGATATTGAATAGTTGGCTTCTTAACAGTCTTGAGAATGATTAAAATATTTTTCTCTTTTAATATAAGACTGATAAGCTTTATTGCAATTGATAACAGTTGCGATGCAAATTTCCACTTGGTTTTTGCATCTGAGATAAGAACAGGAAAATAAAATTGAGTAAATTAATTCGGTTTAGAATGCTTTTATACTCTAGTCTCTGTAAACCAATTCTGGAATAAAATGGGTATAAACAAACAGAAAATATAACTTGAATTCCTGATTCAGTGGGTTTCTGTTGGGAGGGGTTATTATTTTGCAAATAGCAATGGATATAATGCATATTTAAGTTGTCCTTCAGAATGGAAACTACAACATTCACCCTGAGCAGATACAGTAATTGAAAAAGCTCTAAAAGGAGCCAAAGAAAAATATACTTTGTATTTCTAGGAGTCAGTACATGGTAAAAATCATTACTATCAAATAAAATAAATCTTTGGATAAACTGGTATGTAGCTTGCATATTAGCATTGATTTGAAACACCATTACGTTGAGGTGGTAACTTAGAGAACTTGAATCTTGAGTTATTCTCTTCACAGTTGAACTAAATGTTTAGAATAATTTAACATAGTATAATTATTAAGCAATAGAAATTGTAGTGTTAGCAATAGAGTAAACTTAATAAGAGGCCATTCCAAAATGGTCAATTTCTAAAAGTCTAAAAAACACAGCATCACTAGTAACCTACAAATATGGACTTTTCGTGTTTATATACATGATAATATAGTTAGTCCAGTAGTACGTTCTCTTAGATGTCTATATCCAAGGTAAAACTTTTCTTAGGATTCTAATTTGTAAGACAAAAACCACCTTTAAAGAGCTAGTGGTCACAGATAAGGAATGTATAAAGAAAAAATTAAAAGCCTACAAAGTAAAACATGGACCAGTATATGAAGGAATTATGAGAGAAGCAATAGAAATGAAAGAAATAGTATAAACACAAACGTACTTCCATTTTGAGCCACAGGATGTCGTTGTTCTCCAAGGAGAGGATTCTTTAAACAGAAGAAAATTACGATAATTCACGGGCCAGAAAGAATCTCCACGGTTTCTGTACACACCCATGTTGTTAAAATCAATTGGGATCTCAGGAACAAAGACTCGAAAGGTCTAAAAGGACTACACCTTTCCGCTCATGAAATGTTGATTTACTAACCAGAAGCGAAGCAGGATGTTAGCTTCAGGACCAGGTGGCCAGGGAACTAAGCACTTGCTGCTCTCGGTTCTGCTCCTTACAGCGTGGGAGGCCGAGAGCGGCCAAGTCCACTACTCGGTCCCGGAGGAGGCCAAACACGGCACCTTCGTGGGCCGCATCGCCCAGGACTTGGGGCTGGAGCTGGCAGAGCTGGTGCCGCGCTTCTTCCGAGTGGCGTCCAAGGGTAACGGGGATCCTCTGGAGGTAAATCTGCAGAATGGCATTTTGTTTGTGAATTCTCGGATCGACCGGGAGGAGCTGTGTGGACGGAGCGCGGAGTGCAGCATCCACCTGGAGGTGATCGTGGACAGGCCGCTGCAGGTTTTCCATGTGGAGGTGGAGGTGAAGGACATTAACGATAATCCGCCTGTATTCCCAGCAACACAAAAAAATTTGTTTATTTCCGAAACAAGGGCTCTTGACTCTCATTTTTCACTAGAGGGCGCCTCTGATGCAGATATCGGGGCCAACGCTCTGCTGACTTACAAACTGAGCCCCAGTGAGTATTTCTCTCTGGAAGTACCCACCAACGATGATCAGGTAAAACCGCTCCAACTAGTACTAAAAAAACTCTTAGACAGGGAAGTCGCTTCAGAGATTCTCTTGGTGCTCCAAGCAATTGATGGGGGCAAACCTGAGCTGACAGGTAGCACAGAGTTACACATCACAGTGCTGGATGTAAATGACAACGCCCCAGTGTTTGACAAAGCAGTCCATCGTGTAAAATTACTGGAGAATTCGAAAAACGGTACATTGGTTATTAGACTTAACGCCTCGGATTTGGATGAAGGTTCAAACAGCCACATTCTTTATTCTTTTGCAACTGATGTCTCCTCTAATACAGAAGCCTTCTTCTGCATAGATTCAGCCAGTGGAGAAATAAAAGTAAACGGAAAAATAGATTTTGAAGAAACTAAATTATGGAAACTTCAAATAGAAGCAGTTGACAAAGGAAATCCCCCGATGTTTGGTCACTGCACAATCTTGGTAGAAATCTTGGACATTAATGATAATGCTCCGGAGTTGCTAGTGACGTCACTATCGTTGTCTGTTCCAGAGGATGCTCCCCCCGGCACGGTCATTGCCCTAATCAGTGTAACTGACCGTGACTCTGGTGCCAACGGGCAGGTGACCTGCTCACTAACACC